TTTCTTTCTTTCTTTCTTTCTTTCTTTCTTTCTTTCTTTCTTTCTTTTTTTGGTTTTTTGTTTTTCAAGACAGGGTTTCTCTGTGTAGTTCTGGCTGTCTTGGAACTCACTCTGTAGACCAGGCTGGCCTTGAACTCAAAAATCCTCCTGCCTCTGCTTCCCAAGTGCTGGGATTAAAGGCGTGCCCCACCACCGCCTGGCCAGAACTTTTTCAAGAAAGTAAATGAAAGCCATTTTCACACATGGTTCACACTGAAGCAAAACTATTTGGTTGAGGGTGAAACTCCTCTTACTTAGTTGTACAGTGACAATAACTCATAAAAATAGTTCCTAAAAATGAGGGTGTCTGAAAGCCGCGCTTGTGTGCTCACACAGGAAGTGAGAGGGAAGAGAGAGAGGGGGCAGAGAGGCAAAAGGGACAGAGAAGCAGGAGAAAGAGAGGGAGAGAGGGGGAGAGGAAGAGGGCGAGAGAGGGAGGGAGAGAGAGAGGTGGAGAGAGAGAGGGAGGGGGAGAAAGAGTGAGGGAGCGAGAACTATTTAAAAGAGCAAGAAAAGGAGAGAGAAATTGGAAACTCAGTGACGAGAACAGTGGTTCTTCATTATTGAGACAGGACCATGTTGGCTTCAAATTATCCATTCTCCTGCCTCAGCATCTCTAGTTTTGGGATTACAGGCATGAGGCAGACATATTGATAGTAGTTTTTAAAGTGTAAAATTGATCCTCACAAGCCATTTTGAACTCAGGATAAGACAAGTTTCAGAGGTTGAGGTACTCTGTCTGATGTGGGAGAATTAACAATATTTAAAGGCTATGGCTGTATCCTGTAGTCAAGTGTATCACAGACTGTAGCCAGATTCAATGGCTATCACTGTGAAACAAACAAAGAGGTCCTCTGGGTTCAGGCTGGGCCATCTTGTATTTGTGACTCTAAGCTAGACACTTAAACTCTCTGCTCCTCAGTTTCTTCTTTTGTAAACCCAGATAACGCTGATATGTTATATCTTTGTAACTGTTGGGGTGATTAGTAGGAAAACTCATGGAAAGTGCAGCCAAAAACGTGTACAGGTTAGGTGCTCGGCAAACAGTTCAGCAGTGGCCACTGATATACTATTCTACAAGACAGACTGGCAAGCTGAAGAAGAAAACAGCCTTGTGACAGAGGCTGGGACTTGTTCACCAGGTGCACGAGCCATTGTCTAGATGAAAGCCAGCAGTCTGTTCATGGAAAAAGACTGGGATTTGGAGAAGAGATACAAAAGAGGCTCAGAAATAAATGTGAACAGTGTACGTTGAAAGGAGGGCTGGGTAGGGTGAGAATAAGCCGAGTTCCCTGCTGCAGGGGGGCAGGGGACCCCATACGCCGCTGCGGGGTCAGAGGACCCGGCAGAAGAAGCTGGTTCCTGTTGGCACATGGAAGGCCAGGACACAGTAATGAATTACCATTAAGGGATTGATACTAATATCAAGGACCTGTGCAAACAAAAAAGGCACAAGATGGTTCAAAAAAAAAAAAAAAGAAGACTTTATCTTCTTCTCCACAGGAAGCCCCCCCTGCCTCCCCTGCCTCCCCTGCCTCCCCTGCCTCCCCTGCCTCC